CACTTGGAGTGCCTCTGGTGTTGCTATAAGAAGGTCCTCCATTGTGCATGTGGCAGGGCTCAGGTTGCATTGCAGCAGGTGGTCTGTGGTTTGCTCTTCTCCACACTCGCATGTCATAGATTCTACTTTGTAGCCCCATTTCTTAATGTTGGCTCTGCATCTCAGGGTACCAGAGAGCAGTCTGTTCAGTGCTTTCTAAGTCGCCCAGTTTTCTGTGTGCCCAGGAGGGAATCTTTCGTTTGGTATCAGCCATTGATTGAGGTTCTGGGTTTGAGCCTGCCACTTTTGGACTCTCGCTTGCTGAGGTGTTCCAGCGAGTGTCTCTGTAGATCTTAGAAAACGATTTCTTGATTTAAGTCATTAGAGCACTGAATGATATCCAAACAGGGGATGGTCATGGTCCTTTCACTATTGGTTGCTACTTCCCGGAGGATGTCAGATGGTGCAATACCGACTAAACAGTGTAATTTCTCCAACGGTGTAGGATGCAGACACCCCATGATAATGCGGCATGTCTCATTAAGAGTCACATCCACGTGGTGAGATTTGTTCCACTCTGGGCATCACCTAATGACTTTCGGACATTTACATAAATCTATTATGCAGTGTTTACTGTGAACTGTACAGGTTCATGAAGAACATCACTTCTGTCTCCCCTTAATACCCTGCTCACTGTACCTAAATGGTTAAACCCTAAGCAAAGCCATCTTCTCAGCCCATTGTTTTGGTAGCAGTCCTCCCCTCCTCCTTCGCAGCAATGCGGCATGATCCGTGAAGGAGAATTGGAAACTTCTCACTTATTGACACTTCTTTCCAGCATTGTCCCAGATGCTTGTGAGTAATTTTGAAAGTGCTGGCACTCAGCCCAGTAGACGGTCTCTGAGCAATCTGATGTAAAAGCAGAGGAGGTGTGGACCTTTTCACACCATTAAATTCTTCACATTATCATAAATGCGCCTCGGTCTTGCGTGAAAATTCCAAGACGACTTTCTGCCACTGTTTTTGTTTCTTGAAAAACCATCTTTTAGGCACTTAAGGAAAAAAATTTATTGAAGTCATGGGGCAAGAGCTCTTCAGAGATAGAGAATACACCATTAGATGTAGAAATAATTTTCATGAAGCATTCGATGGACAGGACTATTGGGATTTGAAGTTTATTGAATCTCCCCAAGATTGATTGGTGTCCGCCAAACCACAGTGACCCAGAAGCTGATGTGAAAATGAGTGCCTAGTGACTTAGTCAACAAATAATGAACTAATAATTTCTGTAGTTTGGTCTTGTTTGGCAGGAAGACATGATGTAACTATGGGAGTCTGGGTGGCCTTGGCCAATGAAATAACTCCCAAGTATCTTGGGGTCATGATTGTTAGAGGATCTGGGCGTTGGGACTTCCCAAAAAGTAACATTCCCAAGCTCTAGGATTTGGACCAATCAATAATACTCAAGCTAATTTATTTCACAGGGTGGTTGAATGCATTCAGAGGGGGAAGGGAACTATTTAAAGCCTCTGAGGTCATTGCAGAAGGCTTGGGATGAAAATGTAGCTACAAGAGGAGATGTCTCCTAGAGCCATCATTTTACAATGTCCTTAGCACCATTTTGGGGGTGTTTCCCATCTTTCATTATTTCAAATTGTAAGCTTCTTCAGGTTTCAGGTATCTTGTGGTGATGGTGGTGATGTTGTTGTTATATACGTCTGGGACATCTCTTGCTCTATCCATAAGGAGAGATGGGAAGAGATGATGATGATATGATGTTCCCGGTTATCTTGCTGATCTTTCCTCCTGATGTAGTTGTACCATGTTCTCCAGCATTATAAGCTTTGTAAAGGTCACTGGATCATCTCTCGAGAACCCCTACTATCCCCCTTGTTGTGCCTGATCTGCATGGTACCACCTTGCTTTCATCTCTCAGTTTGTTCCTCAAAATCAACTCCGGCTCTGGGGGAGGTGCTCATCTCCATTTCCAAGCCGAGGAGCCTGCATTGTCTGCAGACACCTCCTGGTCGTGTGGACAGCATGATTGCTTGGAGTGCCTGTTTGCCTTCCCGCTGAGGCGGTACCTATTGATCTACTCACATTTGCATGTTTTTGAACTGCTAGGTTGGCAGGAGCTCACCTTGACCTGCAGATTAGAACTGCCAGCCTTCAAGTCAGCAATTCAGCAGCACAAGGGTTTAACCCATTGTGCCACCACGGCCCTATATGTTCTGGCAGACCTATCCCGATGATTTGTAAATTATGAGTTTTTAAATTATGAATTTATTATTTTTAATGTGCATGCTCTCTTGTCTTATGTTGTGGCATTTTCACAGTATGTATCTTTAATTGTTGTTATGATTTTTTTTAGGTGATGTATCTTTTAATTTTTTGTTCACCACCTTGCTCTATCCATAAGGAGAGATGGGAAGAGATGATGATGATATGATGTTGCTGTTGTTGTTTAGTGATTTTGAATTGCTTAGGAACAAAAAAGTAGCCATCCCATATCACTAATAGAGCTAGTAATAGAGCCAGAGAAATAACAGTACTTGCTTTAACACTGCACTTAAAATAAAAATGACTGTGTGCGGCAATTTTATTTTTCCTTATAAAGTAGTTAGAAAATGGCATAGCTTTATGAGGTCACGAAGGATCGATCTTTCTATGTCACATAATAATAATAATAATAATAATAATAATAATAATAATAATAATGATGTATGGATTGTCGATGTCGCAATCCTAGGCGACAGCAGGATTGCAGAGAAACAACTGGAAAAGCTGACATGATATGAGGATTTAAAGATCAAACTGCAAAGACACTGGCACAAGCCAGTCAAGGTGGTCCCAGTGGTGATCGGCACACTGGGTGCAGTGCCTAAAGACCTTGGCCTGCACTTAAACACAATCGGCGCTGACAAAATTACCATCTGCCAGCTGCAGAAGGCCACCTTACTGGGATCTGCACACATTATTCGCCGATACATCACACAGCCCTAGACACTTGGGAAGTGTTCGACATGTGATCCAATACAACAGCCAACAGAGTGTCTGCTGTGGACTCATCTTGTTGTTGTTGTTGTTTCAATAATAATAATAATAATAATAATAATAATAATAATAATAATAATAACAACAACAACAACAACAACATACAGTGCATTGGTTAACAAGACATCAACAAAAATACATACAATGAAATGCATATATTAAAACACAAGTATATAAAATACATGTATTAAAATATAATTGTCATAGAAATTAAATTTAAAATTCATGGGTTGAAATAGACTGATTTTTGCCAAGCAGCCCACATTGGTTCAGCCGTTTTCGTGGGGCTTGGGATGGGTGGGTCCGATGGCTGCCTTGCAGCTGTGGAGGCAAAGCAGAGGCTGAACATCCCATGGGTGCGTTCTTTGCAAGACCTTGCTTTTGGGCTGAATCTTTGCAGGGAAATAAAAGGGAAAATGGGTTGGTTTAAAAAAAATATTAATGATGACCTTGGGAAACCATTCTTTCCATGATTACAGCCATGGCCCCTGTTTCCCTTGGAAGAGAAAAGTAGAAATGTCTATTTCCTCCATGCATTTTTGGGAGATTCCTGGAAATAATTACTATATTATACAGCTGTAATTAGGAGCTTTTGCATAGTAAACCAAAGGTTGAACTGTCCTTGTTGAGTACACATGCTATAGCAGATGTAGAGTTTCCAATTAGAGTCAATGTTCTTTGAGTCCAGGTTTGTCTGACCCATAGAAAGGTCTTGGGTCCCAGGATTATGGCACAGCTGGTTGGGAGTCCGCTGCATTGAAATCACTACTGACCGAAAGGTCATGAGTTTAAAGCCAGTCCGGGTCAGAGTCAGCTCCCAGCCATTTGTCTAGTTTGCTATCGGCCTTTGCAGCCTGAAAGACAGTTGCATCTCTCAAGTAGGAAATTTAGGTATTGCTTATGGGGGGAGGCTAATTTAACTAATTTACGATGCCATAAAAATCTCCAGCAGCATGCAAAGAATGAGGAAATACTCCATCGGTGTCACAAGTGGATGGCGAAGCAATAGCTCCCCTGGTGGCCAGAATTCGAAGCATACACTCATGAAGCTGGAAAGTTAAATCGCCTCTGTGTGTCTGTCTATACATTTATGGCATTGAATGTTTGCCATGTATATGTGCATTGTGTTCTGCCCTGAGTCCCCTGCAGGGTGAGAAGAGTGGAATATAAATACTGTAAATAAATGAATGAGTATATATTATCCAAGGAAGCAGTCATTCAGGCATGCTGCATGCTTTGCTATTTTCACTTAGTTAGTGCCAGGCAATCTCTCTAGAGTTCTAAATATCAAAACAGGCAAGATGCATCATCTTGATGCCAAGGCAGTGGTTCTCAACCTGTGAGTCCCCAGGTATTTTGACCTACAATTCCCAGAAATCCCAGCCAGTTTACCAGCTGTTAGGATTTCTGGGAGTTAAAGACCAAAACATCTGGGGACCCACAGGTTGAGAACCACTGTACTAAGGAAACCATTCTCTGCTGCTTCAAAGTGGTGGTGGATCTCATTCTCTGGAGATTTGTAAACAGAGGCTCAATGGCTATCTGTGGGGAATGCTTTCACTGTGCATTCCTGCATGCAAAATGGGGTTAAACTGGATAGCTTGTGGATTCTTCTGTGAGTTTTTTAGCTGGCTCTAGGTCACCACATGACATTACAAGGATGAGGTTCACATGACTGGATGTTCCTCCATCCCAAGGAGGAGTCAGGATAGCTGTGCAAGGAATAGTTAAATATATGGCTGCATTCAGTCACACAATATTCTACCTCCAGTCAGATGCGGCATATTCCAGACACAGGTCCAGCACCTCCATGAGAGCTAAACCCAAGTAGCTGAGGGACTTCAACCCAGTTTTCTAGCTTCTTAGCATAGTGTTGATAGCACACTTTTTCTTTTCATGATGTTTCTATTTCCTTTCTTCTTACAAAGATCTTTACAAACCAAATGCCTTGTTCTCCTCTTGTACAGATTTCCCAAGAAGTGTGACTCAGGCTCAGGTTCAACCCAGTGGATATTTTACATCATTAGGTAAGTTTTGCATGCAACTGTTACCTGCAAATAACATTTGTAATTTGATTAGATGATGCATTACCTTTAAAACCCTGTTGTCCTGATCTGGCATTCATAGATCCCATTTCTATTATTTAATTGCCAAGATTGAATTCTAAATTGGAGACATTGGAGGTGACATTGGAGGTGACATTGGAGGTTGGGAATTCAGCTTGGACAATACAGTCCATCACTGGCTAAAGGAGAGAGACTAACCAAATCAGTGATTAATTTACTGAAGTGGACTCTCTGGCTTTTCTAGAGGTCTAGATCACTGAGCAAGCCTAATCTCATCTGACTCTGAACAAACTGAATCCGTAGAAATAACATCTCTTTCTTCTTGGGATAAAGGGATTCAAAGAGTTGATCCAAGGAGCATTAACACACCAGGAGCACCTGGATCCATCTCTGTTCCAAAAGAGACAGGTAGCTATTTTACCTAAATGGTAATGGCTATTAGGTAAGATGGTGTCTCTTTTGGAAGAAAATTAGTCTCAGCAGTTGTCATCCATTTCTTTATAACTCCTCAGATTGACTCCTTTTCTGATGGTAGGAGCTGCTTGGCAGTGGAATACCCTTATGCTCCAGAGTGAGATGGAGTCTCATTTGTTGGGCAAGTGGACTTATTAACAAAAGACCCTCCTCATAAATGCACAGCAGAGCAACTTAGGATCAGCAGTGTGACCCAGCACCAGTAGCCAAAAGTGGTAAAAAGAACAAAAAACACAGAGACCAATGTTATCTCTTCCTTGGAGGCTTTTCTTTATATCAAAATCATATGGTTGCACTATTTACAAGAACAAAGTTTCCATAACACAAATAAAATTCTTTATACTTCCTTCTTTGCTTCCACGCTGGGCTTCTTTCTCATGCAGATAAACAGCTTCACTCTCACAGAGCCTCTTCTCACACCGGAGCTTCACACAGCTTTTTACATACAGCAGCTTTCACACTGAAGCTTTACACACGATGGCGTTCAACCTGGAACTTCTTTCACCGAAGCTTCTTACACACCAGATCTATCTCAGACTGACACTTTCTCACACTGAGGTGAACTCACACTGAGGCCTACTCATACTGAGGCCTACTAACACACTGAGGCCCTCCTCCCATAGAGCCCTCTCACAGACTGAGAGCTAATAAGCTACAAGCACACCTGCTTATATTGAACTTCAACTTTTGCTGAGTTATTGCATCCATTTAACCCTTTCAGTGCTTGACTCACGTTTTTGTAATTAAAAATATCTAGTTATTTTTTAATATTTCTGACATCATTCTCTGGAGGTTTTCAAAGTTGCAAATCAGGAATGCACAACAAGCCTTGTCTGAGAGATACCCACCTAACCTCTGTTTGAATGCGATTCTTTCTCTCCTTTCCCATCTTGCTTGTCATTTATGCAGCAGACTTCCTTTTCCCCCAGGCAGGTTTCTGAGCAGGGACAGTAGCATTTCTCCCCGGCATATAGCACCCCGCAACGTAAGCATGTATGTTTTCAGTTGGCTGTCTTGTTCACATGCAAATATATTCCTTTGCATTGAGCCCTGTCTGAGCATAGCTAGCCATGGGATCTGTGTTTTGCCAGAGAATTGCATTTGTAAATAAGATCCAGATGCGTTGCAGCTCAAGGCAAGAAGAAGGGGGAGCGGAGAACAAAGAAGCGGAGTAGAGGGATGATGACTTAGAAAAGAGCGGAAAAAAGAGGGAGAGTTGTTACTTCCCTGCTGGAAACATGTTAAAAAGTTGAATTAGAGGGTTGCAGGTGTGTGTTCAAAGCTCTGAGGATCAGGCTTAAGACGGTGCCATTGGGGGGCACTAAGGCGCTGGGACATGACAGCACCGAATACTTTGAAGTCAGCATTCGGCAAAGCGAAGCAGCCTGAATCTGGCAGCAGAAGAAACAAGCCCCTTGTATCAGCCCTGCTCTTAATGGAAGAGAAATTCTGCACAAGGGATGTTTTCCCAGGTGTTCTTTCTGTTGAATTGAACAATTTTATCTTTGGATTGGGTTGCAAACTTGTAAAAGAGGCGTCTTGATTTCCTCTTCTCCTTTATTTATCTCCAAACATGTGTGGGGCCGGGAATATCCAAAGATACACAACATGGGCGATCTTTAAGAGAATGCATTGTACTGGTTTGGGGCTGACCAGATAAGATTTTTCTTAAAAATCTGTAATACATATCACGTGTTTCTGGAGAATGTGAGAAGGGAAAATCCCATGGGGTAAGTTGAATGGAGTATGGAACTCAGGAATCTTGTCTTCCTGGTCAACCAATGTAAGACCCCAGCTGGAAAGGGCAGTGATGCTGTTCTTGTTGTTGTTATCATCCTACTTTTATCTCTGTGTGTACCCCAAAGGCTGTTGCTAGGTGAAGTGGTCCTTTGTGATGTTACTGGATTGACTGTTACTAGGTGAAGTGGCCTTGTTTGTGTGATGTCACTGGGAAAGAAAGGTGACATATGTATAAGGGCAAGTGAGGGAAGAAGGGAAGAGCCACAAAGAGCCACCTTGCTATGAAAACATTGTGAAGTAGACCCTCTCAGATTTGGGGAAGGAAGAAAGGAAGGAAGGAAAGGAGAGGATAAGAAAGAAAAAGGAGGGAAAGAAGAAAGATAAAGAAAAGGGGAAAGATAAGGGAGGAAATGGGGAAAAAGATGAAAGCCCGGAGGGGGGTAACACCAAGTCAATTTAACATCAGTGCTTTCAGATTTGCAACTGAGAATACTGAAAAATTTACTTACTTACTTATTTACTTACTTAGGCGATCCATTCCAGTCTGAGGATGATGGTCCTCCAAGTGTAGTATCTTAGTGATGGGTACGCAGGTGGCTGTGGAGCCCTATTCTTGATCCAAATTTTCTTCTACAGCGAGGACATAGGTTTCCAGGTAGAAGGTGGTCCTGGTCAGGGTTGGCTTGATGCGCCTTCCTTTTGTTCATGCCTCTTCAAATCCTGCAGCACTGCTGGTCACACCTGACCTCTATTCAAGCACTCAAGGGCCAGGGCTTCCCAGTTCTCAGTATCTATGCCACAGTTTTTAAAGTTGGCTTTTAGTCCATCTTTAAACCCTTTTCCTGTCAACCATTTTCCATTCTTGAGTTGGGATAATAATAATAATAATAATAATAATAATAATAATTATTATTATTATTATTATTATTATTATTTATTTATATACTGCTCTATCCCCCTGGGGGGACTCAGAGCATTTTCCAAGTAACATCAAGTATAGTATAGTATAGTATAGTATAGTAACTGCTTTGGGAGACGCTGATCAGGCATCCGGACAACATGGCCAATCCAGCGGAGTTGATGGCGAAGGACCATCGCTTCAGTGCTGGTGATCTTTGCTTCTTCCAGCACATTGACATTTGTCCGCCTGTCTTCTCAAGAGATTTGCAGGATTTTTCAGAGGCAATGCTGATGGAATCATTCCAGGAGCTAAGTGTGACATCTGTAGACAGTCCACGTTTCACAGGCGTATAGCAGGGTTGGGAGGACAATGGCTTTATAAACAAGCACCTTGTTCTCCCTACGGATGTCCCGATCCCCAACACTTCATTCAGAAAAATGCTGCACTTGCAGATCTCAGGTGGTGTTGTATTTCAGTGTCAGTGGTGACTTTTGGGGTAGATGGCTGCCAAGGTGGTGGACATTATCAACATTTTCTAATTAAAATTATAAGGGTACTATAAAACTGGATTGAAAATGATGTGGCAAAGACTGAAGCAGCCAAAGGACCACGGCACCAAATGCCAAACAACCCAATCATTTGTTTTGAGAAAATGCCGCGTTTTGCAGCCTGTCCTCATGTAAAAGCAAGTTCCTAAACCTGATTGGTCTCAGCCACTTCTCTTTCTTTCTTTTCCTTTTCTTTATTTCCCAAAAAGGGGCTCAAATATTAAATGAGTCACTAATATACTGGGAGCCGCATTTGATAACCTCAGGCTAAAATATGAGCTTGCGCTTTGTTTGAATGCCAGTTTTATTCCCACTGAAATACATTTGAGGCAAATTATGCAAATATGTTTTTCATGCTTAGAATTTGGGTTTCTTATGCATGGAATACAACATGGGAGATTTCTTTGTGCTCCGCCACAAGCTGCTAGACTTGATGCATTTTGTGCTTTGCCAAGAAGAGGCGTGCCTGTGTGCGCACATGAGAGCAGGAGAACATGAGCTTCCAGGGGTTTGTGTTTATAAAGTGTCTGACTTGCACATGCTGTAGCTCTGACGAGGGGTGCGATTAATACAAGCCAGATAAAAGCCATTGGGAGCCGAGTGATTGCGCTTTCGGAGAGTTTGAAGCAGGCGCTTGGCCTGGAAGTCAGCCGTCATTAACCAGAATCTCAAAGCACCCTGAGATCAGTATCCATGGAACTCTACTATTACATACAGGTGTTTTATTTCCAAATGGATTTTATAATAGATGAGAAACAGAGAGCACTTTAAAGGCAGGGTTTGTAAGAGGGAGACCGTTTTTTTTAATTAACAGGTATTAACAGAGTGTTTTGAGTGGTAAAAGCAGACTACTTGCACTGATGAACTTTCAGCTTTCTAATTTACTTTTTACCAGAATGCTGTTTCCAACATAAAATTGACTCACTTAGTCCTATGAAGTATACAATTCAACTCTCGTATCTATAGACTCAATATCCATAGTTTCACTTATACAAGCGGACAAATGTCAGCGTGCTAGAAGAAGCAAAGACCACCAGCATTGAAGCGATGCTCCTCCGCCATCAACTCCACTGGACTGGCCATGTTGTCCGGATGCCCGACCACCATCTCCCAAAGCAGTTGCTCTATTCCGAACTCAAGAACGGAAAACGGAATGTTGGAGGACAGGAAAAGAGATTTAAAGATGGGCTCAAAGCCAACCTTAAAAACTCTGGCATAGACACTGAGAACTGGGAAGCCCTGGCCCTTGAGCACTCCAGTTGGAGGTCAGCTGTGACCAGCAGTGCTGTAGAATTTGA